ACTGGCTTGGTAGACAACCAGAGAAAGGAAAAGTACAAATTTTGATAAAGTAGGCATAAGTGATTATACCAAAAGAGAACTATCAAAGTGCTGCTTGAACAGGTGTTGAATCCAATCTGTGAGATCGTTGTACATCATGGTGGAAGAAATCATATCAAGTTTAAGAAAAGGTCAAAGAGAATGATAACTGAGAAAAGGCCTTATTACTGCCATTTTGATTCTCTTTTCATTTCCTCTTCCACACTAAATGAGACCACTTCACACCCCAAGCCATTCTGTATATCTTCACCAGAATATTACTAAGTTACTACTCTGACCATACTGTCTCCACCTCTGTGGAATCGCAGATCTCCATAAGTTCTCTACTTCCTAGCTGGAGTTTCATTTCAGGGCTCTCCTGATCTGGCCTATGCCAACATAGCCAGTCTAGTCCTTCAGCTCAGTTACCCATGCTGTCCACTTTCCAGGCTCTGGTCTAGACCCTTTCTCTGCCTTCTTGGTCGGCTCACACCCATCTCGCCTGTGTGAGCCCCCATCCTCCATTCCCACTGTACCATTGCTCATACCATCTTTGCAGCTTAAATGCTTTCATCCTTCCTCTGTGCCCACCAGAATATGTAAGGCCTGTATTTCAGTCTCCAAAACTTGAAACTGTTACAAGATGGAAAATAGGTCTTTGTTTAAAGCAGGGGAGGTGGCTCCTCCGTGCCTTATAGGCAATAAGCACCAAGCAAATGTTGAATAAATAATTACCTTTTACTTTCTCTTTTTCTTACATAGCCAAGAGTAATTCTAATCCCTAGGTAAAAAGGCCTTCCAAAGATTGAAGCACAACAATCCAGAGCATCTGGTGTGGAGCCAGACTCTCTGGATTCCAATCATTGTTCTGCCAGTTAACAACTGTGTGTCCTTTAGCCAATTATTAACTTCTTTATGTTTCAGTTTTCTCATCTCTGTAATGGTAAAATAAAGGCACCTACTTCACAAAGATTAAGTAAGTTATCTGTGAGTGCATAGTGCAGTGTAGTAGGCATAATGTGTGTGCATCTGTGTGGATGATTATATATGATATATATAGATTTATACACACAAAGTAAATACTCAGTAAAGTTTAGGTTAAACAACTATGGACACACAATTTAGTATATACAGTAACCATGTAAGGTAAGCAGAGGCATTAAATAACTTCTTCACACTTAGTGATTGTAGATCCATTTCCTATGATCTGTGCCTTCTGATTTGGAAACTAAAAGTCATATAGTAGGAGCTGACTCCCCTGAGTTTCTCCAACACATGTCTTAGATTCATAATACTTTTTTAAAGTACTAAGTATTGGAATTCACTGCAGGTATTTTAATTATTTTGATTAAAAGTACAAGAGTAGTGTCAGGTACATGATGTGGGCCTTTCAGTAAGGAAAAAAAAAAAATCAACAGCTTCTGTGCAGAAGTGATTATATAGGATTTCCCGATCTTGCAAAGAAATCCATACAAGTCACTTTCTACTTGACTATATTTTTCCTGCAATTGAGGAAAGTTAACTTGGATCTTTTAAGTGGAAAATGAAATTTCAGTAGAGAAGAATTAAAATAGGAAAATACACTACTTACCACACGTAAATGGCTCTGTCTATCATGCTATTTGGTATATAAAGACTTGTATTTGCATTACACTGAGGGAGAAGTTCTTATTTTGTAGTATATAATCAAATTGCACCTTTATAAATACAAGTTTTTTCTTCTGATAAAAAGAGAACTATTATTTTATTTTAAGTACAAAAGACATTTGACTTCCATCAGCAGCATACATCTTAATGCAATTTGTGCTTGTGATCAGTATCTTCAATTAGAACTTTCAGAAAGCTTTCAGAATTTTTTCTCCAAGTTTTAAAATTCATTTATTGTAACTGTTAACGTTTGAAAGAATAATTGAAATCTTAAATCAAATTGGAAAACTGAACAAAGAAATTTATTCTCTGGAAATTACTACCAAGATAGATAGAAAATCTTCCACTATTCTGCTGAACTCCTTTGTTGTGAGAAATTTAAATCCTTTCCATGTGAGTGTTCAGACTCAAATGTTTTCCTTTTAATACAGACTATTTAATAAGAAATACCATGCTGGCAGTCAGCTTGGTATACTTCTCTTGTTCTAAAGCTTTGTCTGTACATATTACCTTCCTACACTAATCCTCCGTATCCAAGTAAAACAAGTCAGGAGGACAGGTCTTTTCTTTGTGATGTATCGAAAGGAAATATTTTTCACAAATCCAGGGCTGTGTGGGATGTTCTTTGCATCCCTGTGTGATGGAAGTCAGCTTTCTGCCTTCCTGGCAATTGGCAAAAAGAATACTAGAAGCTAAGCACCTCTGTGAGTGGGGTGTATGTTTGGGTTTCTTCAACCTCTCATTTTAAGATGTAACTGAACCAGGACCTAAATGGTATGTGGTTTACTTCAGGCAGGGAATATAACAGAGCCAAGCCTAGCAATGCAAGTTGTATAGTAGATTCATTGACCTTGCTGTTTGCCCAGCTGCAGGGTGACTCCTTTCTCATTCCCCAGCTGCCCAGCTGCTTCCTAGTGCTATTTTATTTTTCTTTTAAACTGGAGTTGCCAACCAAACTTCCCCCGTAGGTTCAGTAATTACTAAAAACAGATAACTTTCCAGTGACACATAGCTCAGAGAAAGCTGCCACTGCTTTGTAGTTTAGCCCTCAGTTTGCTCTTGGTCAGTACTTTCTTTGCATTTTTAAGAAAGAACATTTATCATATTTTATGAAAATAAGTAAAGGATCTTCACTAGTCCCATGTTTTACCTCCAAACTTCCCCCGTAGGTTCAGTAATTACTAAAAACAGATAACTTTCCAGTGACACATAGCTCAGAGAAAGCTGCCACTGCTTTGTAGTTTAGCCCTCAGTTTGCTCTTGGTCAGTACTTTCTTTGCATTTTTAAGAAAGAACATTATCATATTTTATGAAAATAAGTAAAGGATCTTCACTAGTCCTGTGTTTTGCCCTTAAAAATAGCTGTCTTAGAAATGTCATTGGACTGTAAGAAAGTATGTTTTCTACCTTTTTTAGTAATCTGCAGAAACAACAGCATATATAATTCAACTTAATAATACATTCATTCCGGTGTTGCTTCCAAACTATTTAAAATTTTGCCTTTGAAATGAGAAAAATAAATTATATTACATAAAAACATTGCCATAATCTCAACTTCTCAACAGCTACACATTAGTTACAAAAATGAATCCGAATAATTTTGGGGTATTTGCAAATGAAATAAAAATCTTCTGTGACAAGAGTGTGACATCATACACAAGAAAAGGCCAGCACCCCAATGTTTGTTTGTTTGTTTGTTTGTTTTGGGGTGCTGGGGATTGAACTTGGAATCTTAAGTTTGTGAAGCAGGCGGTGGAACCACTGAGCTAAATCCCTTTCTCTGGCACCCTGATGTTGAGCACTGGGCACCAAGTCCTAGTGTGTTCCTTTATACATCAGTTACACTGAAGTATCATGCTTATATGTTATTTCTTTTAAAAAGTATAATTGTGCACAAAATACACAAGTTTTAGAATTTGCCCTGATGACTCTGTCGATAATAGCACATTGGAATTTTATTGGAAAACTGTGATGCTCAGGTAAAATTCTGAAAATCTGTGACTGTTATTCTTCTGTATATAAGAACTCAAAAATTATATGTAGCTATAACTATGAAAGTAAGTTTTCAGTATCTTTATTCCTTATTTGAGAAGATATTGAGTACGTGTGTTATCAGGAGTACATTAAGAGATAACTGCAGATCAATTTGATTTGATTTTGTTTTTAATTAGCAGAGTGTAAAATTAGTAGTGTATTTCAAAGCCTCAAAAAAGCTGTATTCTTAACCCTAAAATTAAAATTCTGGAAATTTATCCTAGGAAACATGACACAATTTTGTGCTCATTTTTGTAACAGTACTGTAACCAATCTTTCTTTAAACTAAAAATTCATTATATAAGTTTATAATATACATGGAAAGATTTATTATAAAACGTTATATTCCATATATTCCTAAATTCCAAAACAGCAATTAAATACATCATTTCCAAAAAGAGAAAGAAGGTAGGATATACATGAACAGCTTCAACACTGTTTAATTGTAAAGCAAAGCAATGGGAAAACCCTAAAATGTTTAACAGTATGGGGTTGGCTAAGTAATTATGGCAAATCATATTAAGAAATTCAAATTATGTTTTATTGGAATATTTAGTGATACAGGAGAATGTTCTAATATACTAAGTGGAAAAGGTCATTAAAATTGTGTATACAAGATGATACCAGTTTTTTAAAGGGGAGAAATGATATATGGTATTTTATAAAATGAAGCGTTAATATGTGTGTTGTGTTGTGTATGTTCATATTTAAAAGACTAGAAGGCTATATACCAAATCTTAATAGTACTGTTTACTTATTTTTTTTTCTTTCTGTATCATATGTTTTCTACATGGATATAAAGTATTTGTGCTCAGAAGAGCAGTTTTTTAAATCTAGATATATAAACCTTAATATTTACACTTGGTATTTTAACAAGTAGCTTTTGTGCAATAAATTTCCTTTGTTAGAACTGTACTCGTTTGGAATTTTGGTTAGGCTAACACTTATCCATGAGTAAATAGTTTAGACTGCAAATTAATAATGCAGAGGAGATTTTAGAAAGACACTTTTAAGCTTAAGAGAACTTTTCAGGTACATTGAAAAGTATGTGCAGGACTCAGTAAATCATTTTTTCATCAAAACCTGTCCCCTAAGTGCATTTTCCTGTCAGGTGAATTTGCATATTTGTTTGGTTTAAGTGGAAGCAGTAGGTCATAATTCATCTGTTTTTACTAACAATCTGACTTTGCTTTAGCCAGTTGGAAGGTGATATTTTTAACACATGTGTCATATAACAGTTCCCACTCACTGTATAAGTTACAGGCAGACATCTTGTAACAATGTGGGTCACTTTTTCACAGGTGATGAAAACATACCATATGTATCACGCAGAGAGCATCAGTGCAGAGAGCAAGCTGAAAGAGGCTGAGAAACAGGAGGAGAAGCAAATTGGAAGATGTGGGGACCCAGTCTTCCACATTAGACTAGAAGAGAGACATCAGCGACGAAGCTCTGTAAAGAAAATTGAAAAAATGAAAGAAAAAGTAAGTAAAAATACATCGCAGAGTCCTCATTTGAGGAGTACTGTACTAAGACCATATGCAACAGCCGATAGACAACACACATTGTAAATTATTATGAAAAGATATGCACTTCCTCCCATGGGAATGAAAAATGCTTAAGACACATAAAAATCATGTAGTAACAGCTGGCCATCATTTCGTGGTGAATGCCAAGTATTCAGTACAAATGTGGAGAACTTGAATATTAACAAAGAGATCTCATTGTAAATGGGCCTGAAGCCCAACTACATTGTTATTATTCCCCATAGCGGGGTAATTTTAGTTTGTTATTTAAATCAGTTTAAAATGTACTTTTCACAGAGGACTTCAGGGTCATTTGTATATGTGGAGTAAATTGCTTAAATTAATAAAAATGCATGTATGTTTTTTAATGATTTTACTGTCTTTTCCAATGCCTGGATCTTCCTTCATTTCCAGAGACAAGCTAAGTATTCGGAAAATAAACTAAAATCCATTAAGGCACGGAATGAGTATCTCCTAACACTTGAAGCAACCAATGCCTCGGTTTTCAAATATTATATTCATGATCTTTCAGATTTAATTGATGTAAGTACTTGAAGTTTTTGTATTTCCTATATTAAGATAGAATTAACAGCTATAGTTCACTAATTGGAAATCACCATCATTTATTAAAATATTATTATTTAATGTAATACCCAGGAAAAAAAGTACTTTCAGTTCAGATGTGCACGGTACTTAGATAAAAGTTTCAGTCCATAGCCTGTGGGCTGCTTACTACTCTGGACAATGAGTTTTACGGTGCCACAAGATTGTAAACTTTTTAAACTTAATGTGGTTTTTAGCGGTATTTTTCATGATTTGATTGCCTGTGCTCACTCATGGACTGCATAGGCCGCACAGATCAGTGCTAACTCAGCCTGTACACCCACCTACCAGCATGCATCAGTCATTACACATGCTTGTATGAGTTTGGCGAATAAAACACAGCAATTACCCATAATAGTATTTTAACCTACCTGCAGATGTGTGTGCCTGTGAAGACGGGTATTTATTGTTATTAGGCATGTAAGTTTTCTTATTTAATTATTAAACTCGGGCTTGTTGTATTATCTTGTAAAATAATTTAAGAAGTTAAAATAGTACAAAAATGTCAAAGTATTTTTGTTCATATCATTATAATCACATATACAACAATAACACTAGTGCTAGAAATGTTATAATAAAATACACACACACACACACACACACACACACACACACACACACATCCCCCCACCCTACCCCAGTACCACAGATTGTTTTACCAGGGATTGAACTCAGGACCTTGCGTTTGCCAGGCAGGTGCCACTGAGCTACATCTCACCCCTTATATATTTTAAAATAAAGGAAGTTTCATTACTTACATAATTTAACTATATTATAGATTTTATATGTGAGCCAAGACAGTTCTTCCTGACTCAGCACATCCTAGGAAAGCCAGAAAATTGACACCCACTATGAATTATAAGATGCCTGTGAAAATGTGTGTACAGTAAAATTACTGCAAATTGTTATATTCTGTGCAGATGGGAATGCCTGTAAACTGATCCAGAAAGGTGACTTGATCTGGAGTGGCATAGCCCTATGTTCATTGATTCAAATATATTTATTGGGCCTCACTCTTGGGAGATGCTGAGGTTCTATGAAGCCACATTCAATTCTTGTCCTCTGGAATTTAAAGTGAAGAAGAAAGACCAATAAGCAATGGTTGTACTGATGATCACTTTATTATAGTTCTGATAAACACAGTGAAGCAAAATAGGATCCACATTGACCACTTGTATAGATTTATCTAAGTTTCTCCTTTTTTCCTAGGATATGATATAAAAAGCAATAATTGTGTGCATTTAGAATTCTCCAAATATATATTCACAATTACATTTACATAGAGTTTACTAAAAACCCCAGTACCATAAGAAAAGCACAGATAAAGGGATACAAATTCTGATTGCTATCTACTAGAAATTTATTTATATATTCTGCTTTATATTATTGGATCCAACAGTTTTGTGATATTTTTAAATTACATTTTATGACCCAAAGTAGCTGTAATAATTTGAACATACAGTACATTAAAGCAACTTTATTTTTATGGTGAATTTAAGTCTCATATATTTATGTTTAAATTTTTTATTTATATATTCTGCTTTATATTATTGGATCCAACAGTTTTGTGATATTTTTAAATTACATTTTATGACCCAAAGTAGCTGTAATAATTTGAACATACAGTACATTAAAGCAACTTTATTTTTATGGTGAATTTAAGTCTCATATATTTAGCTGTTTAAATTAGAGCTACAGTTTGTTATTTCTACAAAAGAATTGAGAGAGGGAATTATTTTTAAGCTCACTGACACTCTTGGTGTGTTTTTTCCTTTTATTTTAACTTCAAAGCAAGTTGATCTCATAGCATAATTTGTACAGATCATTCAGTAATAAATAAAACCAGGGGAAAAAACTTGTTTTCTATTTTCATTTTTTACAACTATTCAACCAAGTCACTATCACTAGATTGTTTTATAACTCATTTCTTCTAGCACTGTGGTGAAGTAAAGGAATTTTTCTGTAGGACTGCTCATTGATTTTCTGAATAAAATATTCTGTTTCCTGAATAAAATAAAAAGTTTTATGACTGCTGTTTTGAAACTTAGAGCTATAATGCTTCTATAAAGCATATAGAATATAAAAAAAATTACTTCTATGTAACTTCTGTACATACTTGTTTTGATTTAGGACTTACTTTAGTCGGAGTAGTTGGCTAAGCCAGTGTTTGCACAAGGAAAACTCCATGTGAAAAAAAATTACTTCTATGTAACTTCTGTACATACTTGTTTTGATTTAGGACTTACTTTAGTCAGAGTAGTTGGCTAAGCCAGTGTTTGCACAAGGAAAACTCCATGTGTTTCTTTAATTACCTACAAGGTATCAAGCACTGTTTTTTATTAGTTCACATTTGCAATACATAATGAATACATTCACAAGGGGAAGTTGATACATATATTTATCACATCTCAGTCTTTTTTACTTACCTTCCCCTCCCAGGGGTCCACCTGTGAAAGGTCCACCTCCCTATTTCCTATCTCTTATAAGAGAAACCGTGCAATATGTGACTATGTCTGATTTATTTCCTTTAACACTATGGCCTTAAGGTGCATCCCTTTTCCTACATATGACTCAAATTTATTTATTCTTTATGAATGAGAAGTACTCTATTGCATATAAATATCACATTTTCTTGATGCATTGATCTGTTGATGGTCATATATGTTACTTCTAAGATTTAGCGATTGTGAATTGTGCTACTGTAAATATCAGTATGCATGTGTCACTGTAGTGTGGTGTCTTTAAATCTGAGAAGATACCCAGAAGAGATACAGCTGGGTCAAATAGAATTTCTATTTTTAATTTTTTGAGGGTGCTTTACATTGATTTCCATATTGGTTATAGTAATTTTCATTCTTATCAACAATGTAGCAAGTTCCTTTTTACCCACAGCCTCACCAGCATTTCTGGTTTTTTGTTTGTGATGATAACCATTCTATCTGGGGTAGGATGGAATCTCAGCACTATTTTGATTTGCACTTTTCTCATTGCCAAAGATGCTAAACATTTTTTATGTACTTATTGGAAAAGTGTACTTTTTCTGAAAGTATTTATTCATATTACTTGGCAATTTTGTGATTGAGTCTTTTGTTTTGAGAAGTATAATTTTTTTGAATTTTTTATATATTGTAGATATTACTCTATGTAAAGAATACCTGGTAAAAATTTTTTCCCATTCTCTGGATTGTCTCTTCACTCTGTTGGTTGTTTCCTTCACTGTGTAAAAGCTTTTTAGTTTGATACAGTCACATTTGTTCATTCTTGATGTTATTTCTTTTTTTTTCCTGCAATCTTGCAGAATTTATTTATTTATTTTCCATTAAGTTCATTGGTACATTTTAAGTATACAGTACAGTTACATTCATTTAAGTATACAATACAGTGTTGTCTTTAAATCTGAGAAGATACCCAGAAGAGATACAGCTGGGTCAAATAGAATTTCTATTTTTAATTTTTTGAGGGTGCTTTACATTGATTTCCATATTGGTTATAGTAATTTTCATTCTTATCAACAATGTAGCAAGTTCCTTTTTACCCACAGCCTCACCAGCATTTCTGGTTTTTTGTTTGTGATGATAACCATTCTATCTGGGGTAGGATGGAATCTCAGCACTATTTTGATTTGCACTTTTCTCATTGCCAAAGATGCTAAACATTTTTTATGTACTTATTGGAAAAGTGTACTTTTTCTGAAAGCATTTATTCATATTACTTGGCAATTTTGTGATTGAGTCTTTTGTTTTGAGAAGTATAATTTTTTTGAATTTTTTATATATTGTAGATATTACTCTATGTAAACAATACCTGGTAAAAATTTTTTCCCATTCTCTGGGTTGTCTCTTCACTCTGTTGGTTGTTTCCTTCACTGTGTAAAAGCTTTTTAGTTTGATACAGTCACATTTGTTCATTCGTGATGTTATTTCTTTTTTTTTTCCTGCAATCTTGCAGAATTTATTTATTTATTTTCCAGTAAGTTCATTGGTACATTTTAAGTATACAGTACAGTTACATTCATTTAAGTATACAATACAGTCTTGTACCTTTGCATGATATATCTTGGTTCTTATTTTTTTCCCCATTCCCCTGTCTCCCTCCACCCTTCCCTATTTACAAAGACTTTGTTTCCATTTTTTCCTTTCCCCTACTCTTGCTACTTACCCTACTCGTTTAGACCTTTTCTTCCTATTTCGCATTATCAGTTATGCAATTTGAACTTTTAGTTTTTCACATCAGAGAAACTATTCAGTATTTACACGTGTCCTGTTTATTTCACTTAAGAGTATGGCCTCAATGTGCATCCATTTAGCTATAAATGTCTCTAGTTTCTTGTTCTTTATGGCTGAGTAGTACTCTATTTTACAGAAAGCCCACATCTTCTCTATCCAGTCTCCAGATGAGGGGCAATTGGGCTGTTTCCAAGTTTTAGCTATTACAAACTGCCGCTATAAACATGGGTGTACATATATCACTGTGGTATGATTCTTTTAATTCTTTTAGAAAGTCTCCCAGCAGAGGGATAGTTGGGATAAATAGGACCTCTAATCCTAGTTTTTTTGAGGTACCTCCATATTGATTCTCACAGTTGTTGTACCAGTCTGCACTCCCACCAACAATGGAGAAAGGTTCCTTTCTCCCCATAACCCCACAAACATTTGTTATTGGTTAATTTCTTGATAGCAGACATTCTTTCTGGAGTGAAGTGGAATCTCAGTGTTATTTTCATGTTATTTCTTGTGCAATTGGAGTTGTATTCAGAAGGTCTTTGTCTATGCCTATTTCCTCAAGAGTTTTATCCATTTTATCTTCCACAGAGTCGTTGTTTCTGTTTTAAAGTCTAGATCTTCAATCTATTTTGATTTTTTTAGTATATATTGAGAGATATAGTCTATATTCATTGTTCCACATTTGGTTAAGCAGTTTTCCCAGCACCATTTGTTAAA